ATCAGATCTGTGATTTTTACAATCTAGCCAGAAGTGCCTCAATATGTTGGACTGGAGAAGAACTTGTTTTGGGCACTGAGGAGATGTATCATGCCCGTAAATGACAGAAGAAAAGCAAAAATTGTCTCCAGAAAAAAGTATTGCCTGAAGTGGTTCTATTTTTAACAGCAGAAAAATAATCACACAACCGTTATCAGTACATATTCTTCCCAATACATGTATGCCTTCCCACTGAACAAGATGACACTGAGACCACTAAGCAATAAAAGAATTGTTTTCCCTTTTGTGAAGTTTGGGGGGGGGGGTGCCTTTCTTTCTCTCCCTTGATAAGAAAATAAAGAATACCAGAAACAAACCCATAACCTGTTTAATTCCAGTTTGAGCAATTCAAAGCTTTGACAGAGTTTTCCACAGTTGCAAAGCAGGCTGTTTTATGGATCTTTCATCCCATCCTATGCCATCACTGGTAGTCACTCTATTTTAAGGCATTCTTTCTCACTCACTTATTCCAAGAGAAGAGAACTCGCCTTCTCTCTGCTAATTCTCAAGTCCCCATGTACCATTATATCAAAATCTTAGTAAGATGCTTTCTTTTCCCTCAGCTTTTCTTGGCAGGTTGGCAACATTTTAGTCCGTTTGGCTTTTGACAAACAAAACCTATTCTTCCTGTTTGCCACTTTGGAAAGGGGTATTTATTTGAAAGAATAGAGCCAAAGATGATATTTAATGAAATGGTTGCTCACATGGCTGTTATATAAATTGTTCCAAATGGTTCCTTCCTTTGTTTATGGACTTCCCCCAATCACAGTGTAACTGGCAAAACAGATTTGGACACGGCTTGACAGATCTCTGCGTTAGTGCTGGTCAGCATTACATTAGTCTCACTCCTCCCAAAACAAGGTAAGCAAACTCATTTTCCCCATAGTCCAAGACCCTGCTGTAAGAAGGATAAAGACCTGGGCTGAAACACAAACTCTGACACGCAGCCTGATGTGCTGCCCTCACAAACTCAGCCCTCTCTCACCACCACGCATCGCTAGACAGAAGTAGGATTCTTGATTGAGAGTAGAAATATGTTTCCAACTCCTTTTCCCATCAATACTGAATCCAATATCTAAATTTAGATTTGAAAAAGCTTCTCAAAGAGGACTAATGAAAATTATGCGACTTTTTACACAATCTATTAATTTTCTCTCTTTGTATTAAGAGGCTGTTTCAAAAATGGCTATGGCTAAATTCCAAAATCCTGCACTAGGAGATATGCAAGGAGAGCACAAGACGTCTTCTATAGAAAGATTTTTCAACTGGGAAGGTATGTATGTCCATTTACCAAACAGACTAAGCTTGCAGATGCAAGAGGCCTTACTAAAATAATTGAAAATGTAAGCTGCATGACAGAGTTTGGAGCAGAGCTTTGCACACACACTCTCTGCAATGATTACAGCCATGGAACTGTGCCCACCACAGCAATAACTGAAGTCAGATGAGGGATTCATGTAGACAGGGCTGCTCCTACAGTCTGGCTCTCGCACACTGCACTAGATATTCATTCTGATCTCAGCAGGAAAGCATGTGTTTGCAGAGCTGGCTTAGGCTGCACAAAGTTAAACTCTTTATTAAATTTTCTAGTTGGCAGTAGTCAGCAACAACTTTCAAGCATGCTAAAAAAGTTTATTTTCGAGATCCAGATTTATACAGTGGAGAGCAGCACATGTTTTCTGAATCAATGTTTCCCCCTCCTTCCCTGTGGAGATCAGGGCTGCAATTTTTCCAGAGCTGTTTAAGATTAAGACTCTAGCCCCCCTTTCAGAAATTCCAAATTTTAACTGGCTACGATTCCTGCAGTGTAACCATTCAGTACTACTGGCACTGTTCTTAATCTGAATCTTTGGTTTCGATCAGTTTGTGGTCCAGTGAGATACTCCTTCAGAAAGGAAGGTATAAGCAAAGACTTGAGGCTAAGGTTACTGAAGTGCAGGCAGCTGTAAATAACTTATTTTGCCTTTTTTTCTTTTTTTTTTTTTTAATCCTGCAAATTTGATCTTATTTGGAAGTAACTAGAACATTTACAATCATTTCGCCTACCTTGAAAGCATTTCCTTTCCAAATACCTGAAAAAGACAAATTTTTAAACTTTCATTAAATATCATATTCACACACACACACACAAAAAAAAATCCAAAAAGTAGTTACCTTACTAACTGGGTTAAATCACTAAAAGCATAACTTAGTTCTTACAACATGTAAAACCCACAGAATGCATAACTTTATAAAATAAAGTTGTGATTGAACTTTTTAAAGCTCAGATTTAACTAACTAACAACTAACTGCAACACACTGGGCATTGATAAAGCCAATTTGTGGTATACACATAAAAGTTAACACAAAATTTTTGGCAACAGTGTATTTTAAAAAACACTGCCATGCAATTTTTAAACAAGTTGAATTGAAAATAAATCTCAGAAAACTTGTCAGCACCTATAAACATAGACAAATTGACCTCTCCACCACCCCCTGCACTTATTCTTGCCAAAAGAAAATTGCACACAAAAAATGAAATCACTTTCAAACCTATATGCCAAGCCCACAAGGGGAATTCAGATCACTATTTCTATCTATAAATGTCCATTTTAGCCACTAAAGCAGAAGCTCCAAATATAGAACATTTAGTGCCAGTGTCAACTCTTAAAATCAGCTCCATAATTTAAAACCTCTGTCAGTCCTCTGCTCAATTATATATTGCAACCAAATCCACTTTCAGCTGAAACCCAGTGCATCACTGACTCTCTTTTGTAGGCTGGGGCAGGGAGACATACCTGCTAAAGAAACAGGGAGGACCACTGCTGGAGGAGAATGAAGCACCTACAGCAAGCTGCAAATTTAGTTCCACACTGTAATTTTGCAAGACAAAAGTGTTGTCTTAAAACACACAGCTTATCTTTGCAGTTCAATCAATCACGAAATGACAAAATATATTGACAAGATTTTCAAGAAAACACTTTTCGTAGCAGTGCCCTACTGGGTTACACAATGCAGTGACACACTGTGAAGAGCTATAAACTTTACAACCTTTTAGGCTGAATGCTTTCTGCTAAGCACAACAGCAGCAACACCAATATACCAGAGAACAGAAAGAACTATCCCTGCTGCTCCTACAATGCTGGTGTCTCTCCGGAACAGCGAATCTCCTCCGTGCCTCCTCTTTTTTCCATCACAAGCAATCTGATTAATATTATGTGCAATCATGTACCTGACAACTTAAATCTCAAGATTTCTTGTGCTCCAGCCTCTTAGGGTGAGTTTAGGACTAACCCATGTGAGGGAATGCCCCCCTCTCATGGGGAAATTTCTTGCTGCAATACTCAGACATTAGTGATGCACTGAGGAATAACTGAAGAACGACACCCTTGAGAGGACACCCCATCACACTCCCAAGCACCATGGAAAGAACAATTTGCTGGTTTCTTGGACAGTGCTCATACATTTCCTGCTCAGAATAAAACAAATCAGGGATCCAGTCCCTTAATTTCAATAAGGACATCCTTTAGTTTGCATTAAGAAGAAGAAAAGCAAAAGGTCAGGTAAAAAGGATGAGCCATATCAAATCAGTTCAACAGTTGAAATTTGTTTATGGTTATATATTAGGTGAAAATGGGGGAAACTACCAAGTTGCTAGAAGGTAAATCAACAGTCTTCAAACTGTAGTAACAAATTAGAAACTTCAAAACCCTCTCTAAATTATTTCAACTGCACTTTAACATTTTTCAGCTAAAGAAAGAAATTCTTTCAGAAAAGAAAAAAGTAAAAAATTAAGTACAATTAAGTTTCTACTGCATTAAGTATAATTGTAACAACAAATCACAAGAAAGAGGAGCAATAGGATTTATATAATAAAATTTGCTCTATTTAAAACAATTCAATACTTGGGTAGCTACAATGGAATGCTACTCCCACTAGATTTCCATTGCACTTCTGCAAACTAGATGAGTAGATAGACAAAACAGGAAGTGTTCTTGGATGGAAAGTATAGTTTTTCAGTTAAGGAAACTGTGGTGTTCATAAAACTAAAGAGTTTCAATGTAAAAATGTTTGTATAGTTCAAAAACATGCAGCTGAACTTATCATGCTTCAATGACCATCAACAAATTTTAATTTTGCACAAACACAAAAAAGGAGAATCAAGTCCTTTAGGACATTTTTATGATAAGACAGGGATTAGTGGCAAGTACAAGGACTAACATTTGGAATTGGCTAACTATGGTGAAGTATCAGTTGACAGTGGAACCAGTCCCAGAAAAATCTATTTTGCTTATAAGGAAATATAAGGGGGTCCCCTAACATTGAATTTTTAATGTAAGCTGATTTCAGAGTGATTTAATGTAAGTTGATTTCACTTTGTTAACTTATGAAAAATGACCCATTATGAGAAAGTACTACATTAAAGTTTATCTTCCCCTTTGTGTCTTTATCACTTCCTAAATATGAAGTGAAGATGCATAAAATGTATTTGAAAAATGAATGTGATGAAACTGATGTATGAGACGGGATCCCCTCCTACACCAACAATGCTTGGAAGCTCTTTTATGTGCAAAACATCCTTAAAATGGAAGGCAAATAACTGAGGAAGTTTATATGTCTAAAAAGGTATTGAATCACCTGGAGGATACTGGACTTGTTTCCAGTTCTTGCATGACTGGGCAACCTGGTATTCTCACTGCCACAGACACCAACAAGAACAAATTCAGATCAAAATCAGCAGAGACATTCACATGTCAAAAAAGCAAACAAGGCCTACCGAATGCATGCATTCAATGCGTATTTCCTGGTTAAAATAAATCAATTGACGTTAGAGGTAAGATTCATGTCCCACCAAGCATAGTCAGCACCTCAAAATCAGAAGAGATAATTATGCAGCAAATAGCAATGCACTGAATGCACAAAAAGAAAAGGACAGTAAAATAGAAGGTCTTTCAAAGCATGTAACACCATCATCTTCAAACCTTATTTTCCTTGGGGGAGATGACTGTGAATTGAACTTTGAGGAACACCCAGAGATTCACAGATCATTCACCTTTTGTTGCCTGCCTCGCCTCACACTTGAGAACCAGGAATGCTTTCTTTGCAACATCTTCACTCGAGATTATCCACCTGTGTGTACCACTGCAACCCAGCTCGTTCCAGGAGCTGCCAGCACTGTCCACAGCCAACTCTTTTCAGACCAAGTAGGTTTTCCTGTGTAGTACATCTCCTCTTTACAAATTTTCCCCTAGAAGAAGAAAAAGGATGTGTTAGAAAGAAACATATAAACACATTATTATTGCCCATTTATCCTGGGCATGTATGAGTAACTGTTCAAGGAGATACAAATACCATAATATTTAGGCACATTTTCTTCCTTGGCACAGGTGGCTGCTGGAAAATAAGCAAGTCTTGAAATGTTCTAAGTTCTGCTGTCTCTCTGGTGGTTTAATTCTTTATTTTTTTCCCTCATCCTTAATGAATACTTTTTTAAAAAAAATATTAATCCAACAAATTTGAACTAACACACACCTACAAAACAAACTACAGAGTTGGCTCACAAGTAAAACTGCTTCAATTACCTCTATGACATAAGTTGTTGAATTTCTCATCATCTTTAAAATATATTCAAAAGCATTTTTCTCTGAAAACATGCAGCTCCTTACTTAAAGAGGGGAGGGTAGTTCTTGTAAACTCTGATGTTTGTTGATTATACATAGGCATTTGAGGACTGGGAAGGCACATGACAGAAGAGTCACATATCAGCAAAATTACAACTGATCTAAGGCACAGATCTCATTAGTGACTCACCAAAGCATAAGAACCTTGAACCTTGTCACAAAAAAATAACTATGACCTAAGCATTTCAGGATCAGAGGTGGGATGATACTATCCTGGAAGCTCACAACTGCTTCTGAGTAGGGCAGCATGGAGTTCAGGTCCAAGTATAGCTCCACTGCTTGGAAAACAAGCTGTAAACTTCCTTTAAATTGTTCAGGTTTCTTCCAATTGCCAAATTCAACTGTAAGTTTTACAAGCAGATACTTTCCAGTTTTGTTGCTATCAGAGAACAACTTCTTTAATGCTCAAATAGTGGTGATGAGCAGGCTATAAAACCTGAGAAAGGATTAGATAGGCCAGCTTTGTGTGACTAATACAAAATTTCCTTTAATTCAGTGCCAAACACCAAGAGAATCTGAGGACCAGTGCAGTCAGGAATATCACAAGAAACAACATTTCCAGAAGGAAAATAGACCTGCTACTTCTCATTAAAAAGGAACATACATAAAAAGAAATGTTGCAGTATTACTTCCTCAAAGAGTACCTAAGACTGCAGATCCATTTGGTTTTAAATGATTTCATCTCTTTGGTCCTCTGGGACTTCCAGACATATTGATAAACGAAACTGGTCTAACTACTCTGGCATCTTGGCATGTAATCATTTAAAACAGAGACACTTCCTAACTTGTGCAAAATTGAAACATTTGTTTGAGAATAATTAGTGCCTTAGCCCAACAATGCTTGGCAGATTTTTCTCATTAGTTGAGAAAAATGATTGAGGCAGGCAGACAAGCAAGCAGACTTTGTCAGGCATTCTGTGAAAATAATTTGGACCACACACTTGGCTTCAGAGCCACATAACGTATGTCGTTCTTTGCTATCTTAACAGGTAGGATTAAAAAAAAAAAAGATGCAACAAGACACAACCATCTGGCACACAAAAACTGAATTGAGAGGACTTTTCACATCTTCTAGTGCAGTTCTTACGTGTTCTCTGTGCGAGCCACAATGATCAAGTCGTCCAGTGTTAGGGCCCAGCAAATCTCTTATTTTTTTTTGTATTTCCTATTGTACAGTCAGAACCAGAGCTGAAAATATTCATTGTGAGTCACAGGCCTCACAGGTCCCAGAACAATATTTGCAGAGTATTCATGCTGGGATAGCCAACTGTGCTTTCCTTCTCCAGGGATGTTTTAACGTGCAGAGCATGTTCAAGGCAAACTGGGATCAGGAAAATATCAAACCACCACATGTTTTAGTAGGCTGTACAACTTCCAGACATGTTTCCTTTCTGAGGTCCTTCCAAAAATCAGACTACTTACAAACAAAGACAAAACTCAAGGTGCCATGTAACTTAACTGTACCAAAACAAACTTCACACAATTAATGTGATAAATGTAACTGTTTGCTATGCAAGTCAAACATTTATATATCAATGCAACTAAATCAGGCACATGATATAGCTAAAAGATTTTTGACATCCGGACATATCAAGAACTTCTAATCTCTGTGTTTTATATTATTTCAGTGAGAAAGCAAATTTTGGGTTTTAACATGAATATACAAAACAGATCAGCTGGTCAAACTATCAGATGTAAATGGATACATTGTAATTTATACACTTCAATTTATGAAATAATTACATTTGCTAGCGACATTTACATATTTCCCATGTCTGCCTGAAGCCTTAAAGTAGCCATTTGGCCTATTATGCTTAGATAACCACCTGGAACTCCTTCCTGGGAAAGTTCCCAAGTCTAGACACTAAAAATCACATATGTTTCCAATTATAAGAAACTATTACTATAAGGCCAACATAAATCTCCTACATCAACAATCAGTTGCCAATTGTATCACATTCCACAATAAGCTTTCTTACTATAACTAATTTATGGAATGCTTGGCTTAGTAAATCAATAAAATCAGGAGGAACGGAGAGGTAAAAATATCAGACATTGACATCAGAGTGAACATTTGAACCCAAATGTTAGTTCTGTATGGAAAAAAAGCTGCATTGGACTGGATCAACAGAATTATAAATTGTACAATATAAAAAGCTTCACTGTGCAAACAGTGATGGCTGTGACTCGCAGCATCCATCACATTCATTCCTGCCTCATGCTCACAAGGTTCTGTAAAAAAGATACAACAACAATAACAATATTAGTGGGTTTTTTGTCTTGCTGTGTTAAACATCCACTACACAAGAAGTCAGACCTGCAAGTAAGGTTTTTTTTGAACAATGCAACAAAATCAAACGGGATCTATTCCACTTTCTGTCAATCACTTTTAAATATTTTTATTATGATTGCGAACAGCAACTTTCAAAAATCAGTTGATTTTTAGGAAATTCTAGAAAACAAAGATGGTTCAAAATGAGTTTAGTAGGAAAACAGCCTTTACCAAAACTAAATTGTATGTATAAAATTGACATTTTATACATACATAAGAGAGAGAGAGATCGTACTTTGAAGGACTAGTGAAAACACTTGTTATTCACCAAAAGTATTACAGCATTTTCCCTTTCTTCTAGGCCCCTGTTGCTGGAATACCTCAGCATCCACTGTTGTCATCACTTGCATGAAAACAAAAGAACAAGGAGAGCAAAACTTTAGAAAGTTGTCTTCTGCAATTACCAGAAAAAAGTTTAGTGTGTGATTGCATTTATTTAAGTTCAACAAATTCCTGGCATTCCGATGACTGTAAAACAGTCTAGGGAACAATTATACTTGTTAAATTGCTATAAGTTGGGGGTTTTTTTCCTAAATACCATCAATTGAAGAGAAAGTTGGTCAGAATTTTAATTCCAGCAACAGCTGAGAATCAGAAATACTTCTGATGGAAAACATATAGCATTTAGGCTGAAGTTTTTCTTCTCCCCACTCATTAAAAGAAGTTTATTCCTTGGAACAAAAGAGTCACCCTAATAACACATTGGCTAGGAATTACCTGGCACAAGACTTAAAGTCATAGTAACACAAGGAATATTATCTTTCATTTTAGGATTTTCCACAAGATAATATATTCAGCAAAGCATGGTAAAAAAAGTAAAGGAATTTGGACAAGACTCTCAAGGTCAGTCTTTTTTTTCCCTCCATATTTGAGGTCTTCAATCTTCTAAATATGGAGGTGTCAGTCAGCACATACATTTCATTTGAAAGGTCCATCAGAAGTAGAATACAGAGAGCAGTTATTCCCTTGCATACCTCAGAAGTGAACTACATTCCAAAGAATTCTGAACAGCTCACATGTGGATGAGACTACAATAATAAATAAGTTACGTACATTGTGCAACCATTAACTTTGGAACAGTGCACATTCAATTTTGTCTCCATTCTTCCTTTTGAAATGGAGTTATCCTCTGGGTTAATGTAGCTGGTTGAGAAAGTCAGCAGCTCGTTCGAGGTTTAGCAAAAAAAAAAAACCTAGGAAAGCATAGATGTAAATGGATCTTGTCAAACAAATTGGAGTTTTCGCCCAGATAAAGGATGGTTTTAAAAACCACACTTTTGCAGTATTATCATCAGGTTAAACTCAATAAAATTACAAACCAAACAATTATCAGAATGCAAATTTCATGGACAGCCCATTAATTCACCTCTTTTCTCATTTCTTAATTACTCCCCTTATAACACCCCATTATATTACTGTTTACCTTCAAGCAATTCCTGAGAACAACATTGTGTGAGGCAGAGGTACTTTGAGGTGGTTTTAATGACATCTTCAAAGAGTAAAGACTTTATTCAGTACTGGAAAACAAAATTCATGCTTAACCTGAAGAAAAAATTTTGGATTTAGATTAATCATTCAAAAGCAAAGCACACTTGTTTTTTATGTTTTTAATAACTTCATAGGTTGGATAGTTTTGCATTAAAGTATCTCACTTCTGTGAACAGCTTAAAATCTTATATACTTTGAATCACTCCAACTAATTTATTTCAGGTTTGTGTTCTAGAGGAAGTTCTCTAAACACCAAAGGAAGCCCCACTTTTCTGACAAGCACCCTAGTAATTCAGAATTTTTTTTCCCCATACATATATAGTGCTTAATAGTAACACAAAATCACTAATGGCTAAATCCCACTGACTTCTATTTAAATACGGACTTCCACTTACCAGAGTTACTTTTAAAGTTATACAGATATCCAAAACCACAGATCAGTTCCTATCTGGATTTTAAAAAGTAAATAATGGTTTAGATGCTGATAAATTTCAACAGAAACTAGACACCTTGCCTAGTTAGACCCTTCTGAAAATTCTAGAAGATGCCTACACATAGGAATTTTACTCCTGATGTTCCCTACCTGTGAGTTCTTGACATGCATTACCCTTTGAGCACCATTACTCATTTTCCAGAACTTAAATTACAGATATCTGCATATACTGTCTCACTGCTGCACCAGCTACATGCAGGTGGTTATTTTTTAATGATATGAAGAATTAGGTTATGACATACAAATAAAGCAGCAAAATCTCAAAAGCTTCCATTGACTTGACAGAAAGAACTGTTGTCGGGAGGCTGAGGGAAGGTAGCTGTTTTGATTTTCCAAACCCACAGAAATGCAATATTTAGTAACAGCATGTGACAATTGCCTTGGCAGCATTTCCAGAAACTGCAAACATGCCCATACCCCACCCACTGTGTCATTCAACACACACAGCCCCTGACACCGAGTGTGGGAAAAGGACCTCAGACAGAGAGAGCTGTAAGGATTGATCCTCTGCCCAGTGCAGGCAGAGAGGATTTTATCACTGAATCACACGGAATAGAAACATTAATTGGGTTACCTGCAAGACAGAAAATAAGAGCTGTTAAAAAGAAAGGTGGGATAAAATAAAAAACACAGCACTGATGTATCAGTAACCATAATACAATCAGGGATAATTTGTGACCTAATTGAGAAACAGAGGCAGGGACATAAATTTTCCAAGTGCTGTATGAAACATTAGATGAGCACCTTATTAAAGATGATGAGATTTGTGCCTCTAATTTGGCCTGAAGTGCACAAAATGTCCTATCCTCAGATATTTCTGCAAGTACATTTTTCAAGTTCTCAGCAAAGGAAGAGCAGTGCAGATTAAGTGGCCTGGGATGAAATGAGCCATTTATCAATAAATACAGCAGCAGCAGCAGAATAAGTGATAAAGTTAGCCAAAATAAGGCACAGCTAGCCAGTAAAAAAAGAGAGAGAAAGGCAGAAGAGCTGTTGGTAAGGATACACAGTTAACACAAGACAAAATGAATGATAAATAAGGAGAGGCACAGACTGAAAAAAGAAAGGGTCATTCAACAGCAGTAACACACTAACACAGGTTTCCAGGATGGATGAACTCAAGGATCAGACGAGGCACAGGGAGCAGTTGCACATGTATGTTACTGACAAACACAGATTTTATAGAGATGTCAAACGAACATCCCAATATCAACAGGGATGGACAGATAACTGATCCCCATTAAAGGACTATTATCTTCCAAGACAAAAAACTGAAACTCTGTGGCAACTTCAACTCATATAGTTGCAGATGCTGTTTTATCCCAGGAAATTATACGACAACCTAAATTTTCAACAAGAAAAAAATTACCTTCCAGACCTGTCAGAAATCAAGCTGGAGGAGCAAACAGGTATTTATGTTCCTGGTTACATTGGACACACTTAGGACGAGAGTGGTAGTAAAATAGGGAGAAGCTCCCTTTTCCTAGAGGTTTATCCTAACTGAACAATGACCCATCACTTTTACTTCCTGTGACCAAGTAAGGAAAATAAATCTCTACTTTTTGGAAGAAAGTAAAATTCTAATGAAAAGCACAAAGTGCAACTCTTCTTTCCATATCTCACAAGTAAACCTCAACACACTGGCTACCAAAACTCACCTCTGAGGCATTCCTCTGTAGCTCTTCTGTAATGCTCACAAGCCAGTGGAACACTCAAAGGAAGAAAGGATGTGAGTGTTTTTAGGGCACTGTAAGTAACATTGAAAAAGGGAAAATCACAGGGCGAAAATGGATTTTGTTAGGTTTAACTTTGATATAAAAACATAGACTTACAGTTTAATCACCAATAAGAAACACATATTTGAAAGAACAGCAAGTAAATGGTTTTTACAGCATAGTGTGCCTCACAATGCCCTTTTCACAGAATCACAGGCTCCCTCAGCCACTCCAGGATTTGTGCTCCAGACCTTTCACTAGCTTCATTGCCCTTCTCTGGACACATTCCAGCAGCTCAATGCCCTTCCTAAACTGAGGGGCCCAGAACTGGACACAGAACTTGAGGTGTGGCCTAACCTGTGCCAAGCACAGGGAATAATCCCTTCCCTAGTCCTGCTGGTCACACTATTCCTGACATTAATATTCAGTTGTTTTCGTTAAAGAGTGGAAAATCCCATGGGCTCTAATGGAGGACAGGTTCACCTCACCTCAGTTACTATAAATAGAAAGAAAGGTCACCCTGTTACAAACACCCTGCTGTCTGAGAAAGAAGACAAACAGGCAAACAGCAGGAGCATAAACAGATGCACCAAGCAGAAAAACCTCCCAGAACAACGCAGCAGGCTGCACCTCTTCACTTCCACAAATAATGCCTAAGTCATCCCAGCTTCCAACTCAGGAATCTGCCTCTTCCACCAGATCAAACAGCCATTCATGACACACCCTGTATTATTCATAATACTGAGATTAGAAAGCTGCTGGGAGGAGACATAAATATCCTTTGTCTGAGAGATCCCTTGAAGACTTGGGTGCTGACTGTAGGATATCCCTGCACAGAACACTCAGCACTGTCACATAAGATGGCAAGCTAAATTGGGTGGAAAAGCAAATGACACAAAGCAAAGGCCCCCACTCAGATGTGCTTTGTCAGGATAAGGCTCAGATGTGAACTCATGCAGCACTGAGGCAGGACTGCAAACATCTGTTAGGCACAACAGGCTCGACTCACTGATGGGAGGCAGCTTCTTTAAACTGTTCCAACAGTGAAAATGGTTTCCAGACAAGCTTCACCTTCTAGGAGAATTCCCCACGGGTGGGGAAACCACTGGATGACATGTCATGGTATCAGATCAGCAACTTGCTAATCCTGGTATGGCAGTTGCTACAGGAGGGTATGGAAAGAGCAAACACTTCAGTATCTGGATGATATCTCAAACAGCTAGAAATACATTAAAACAGCTTTTAATTAGCTCTATTCTTATACCAGGATGAGGTTTGGCCTGTATTTAGTTGAGTATAAGATGGCTTACAGCAATTTTTTCCATCTAAACTTGTATGGGCTAGGGAGTCTGAACTTGAGACAAAATAGATATTAAAGCAACACCCTTTAGACAGGATGCACTATTATTCACAAGAATTTGTGAGCATTTTGAAGCTCAGGATGGGCCTGGTAAGAATTCTCGACATCTGGTTATGTCTGAGTCCAACATCACTGAGGTCTGAGCCACTGGGATTTTCACAAAGCAGCTGCAAAATATTGCCTGGCTGCCCTCCAGCTACTGTGACTCTGAGGACTGTGTCTGGCAGGACAGACCATGCAATGTGTCTTCACAAAAACGTGCTGTAATTATGAGAAATCACTCACAAGGTAGCAGCATAAGAGAAACAGCGGGAGACAGGCAGGACAGTGAATTTCAGGACCATATGAAGACATTAATCAGCAGAAGGAATGAGCTTCAGGGTCAGTACAGGAAAAAAAACCACAAAGTAGCCAGATTATAGCAGGAAAAGAGTAATTTTATCTGATATCAAGAACTTGGAAGCAGCTCTCAGATTATAATCACAGAGGTTGGATGAACAGCCTTCGATGCCAGCCACTGCACACAATTCTCCAGATGAAGGGTTCCTCATCTCACATGTTCCTGTTTTAGGGATACGTGCCAATAAATTGCAGCAAACATTTTCATAATTTTGATTTTAAGCACACCTGAAAGGCCAGTAAAGCTAAAATTAAAAGCAAAGAATAAAGGAATAGACATTACTACTTTAAATTTTACCTGCCAAACTTTTGTCCAAACCTAACGTATCCACCAATATCTGTTTAATCTTTGGCATTAAAAATGCTTTTGCAATTTTAATTATTAACATTTGAAAAATCAGTGACAGGGAACCAGACAGGTTAATTTACCCATGAATGCAAGCAGTGGGCAGCAACTTGAAGTAATTTATTTCAAGCTTAATCCTAGGAGAAACATTTATATGAAGAGCAAAACCCATAAATCTTAAGTTACTGATATTTACTAGTGAGACAAATCAACTTAAAAATGGTTAAAAAAAATACTGAAAAATATCTTGAACACTATGAGGAGTCCAAAACATTTTTTTCGAAGATACACAAGCTCAACTATAACTTAATATAAATTAAAAAACATATATTTTCTTTTTAAAAATTGA